ATTTAAGATGATAGAAGTAATGGTAGTGGTGGTGGGTGATCATGATGATAATGCAGAAGAAAAAACAATACTATAGATAACGCTAACACTACCATAACAATAATAAAAACAACCACAACAAAAAGTAACTTACAGAACGATCACTTTACCCTTCCTGAGTTAGACCAGCAGCCATGTTACTACACGAAACATGCTCTACACGCGTGGAAAAGAAAAGAAAAGAAAAGAACAAAAAAGAAAGAAAAAATACATTATACAAACCCTACGTGGATTACACAGTGTAAGTTGAGGCACAACACGCCCTGAATCAACAAAAAACGTGTTTATTTCCCTTGAGCGAAGATGAAATAAAACAAAGCGGAGGTGTTGTCACAACAAACAGGAAAGAGCGACGGCAGACGTGCATGCGACATCACCGTTAAAAGGCGTTAGAATTTTTGAAATGTTAAGAGTGACTCGGCACGAAAAAGCGCGGGAATCGAGCGTAAAACCAATTTTCATCAGAGTTACATTTCTTCTCGTCATTATTATTACTTCTTTTTTCGGGTTTTTGTCTCTTTTTTGTCGGGTAAGTGACATTGGCTTTTATATTCATTATTTATATATTACGTTTTTGGGTTTGCTTCTGTCACTCGGATATTGAATAGAACATGGTGCGGTGTTATTTTTTTCCGGTCGCTCTCGGTCCCTTGTGTGTCATGACAATATACACTCCCGCATTATTTCTTTGTATGAGGTAATCACGAACCAATGTAGCAAAAACACCAAGAATGCACACAAAAAAGCGAACAAAAAACACAAATTGATTACCCAACCCACGATAGCTATTCGTATACATTTGCCCGCTATTGGTATATGTGCCAAAAACAAAAGAAAGTCAATATTCCCCAGAATGGAATCCAATGCTTCGACCGATATTATTTATTGTTCCTCGCCATGACCTCTTTGTTTATCGGAAGAGGAGAAAAATTATGCCTAAAGAACAAAACTGCTTTGTATTGAAAGCCATTAGCAGCCATCAAAGAATCGGGTTTATGTATTTTACCTTTTATCAATGAACGAAATCGGTGGTATAAATGCAATGACTTTTTTTCACACACCTATATTTACAAAGGTTCGAATCCGATTACCGTACAGGAGGATTTAATCAATGAACACATAATTTGGACCTTGTGTTTAGCCTATTATTGCTGGCACCAAATTAGGTAATGTAAGGTTTCCAAGTCGGAATAATGCAGTGGATAAGGCGCATAGATTACATGTCGTGTTGGATATATGGATTTCATAGGTCGGTCGCCAAAGTGAATGTCTCACGCGCTGGACCACGTAACTGATGAACGTAATGGTAATGCCACAAGTAATGGTAATGGCCATGGGAATTAGGTGATGGTAGGTACGTGTATTTGAAAGTAGTGATAATGTCGTTGTTAGATGTTAGAATGTTAACAATAATTATTGTTTACGTGGTGGCAAAGTTCATCCTAATGGGGGTAAATATGTATAATAAAAAACACGGGTATAATCTAATGATAATGTTTAATTCAATGTACTTGATAAACTCTTCTCATGGTAATTGTCATGGGAATTAGTTGATGGTAGGTATGAGTTTCGTGGCGGTATGTGTATTTGAAAGTAGTGATAATGTCGTTGTTAAATGTGAGAATGTTAACAATAGTTAATGTTTACTTGGTGGTAAATATCATTATAATAGGTGGTAAATATGTAGCACAAAAACGGGTATAATCTAATGATAATATTTAACTCATTATACATGATAATTTTCTTTTCTTAATTATAGATAATTGGGTTTCTAATAAACAAGAAAGATAAAAAATAAGAATTGTTTGTATTCAGATTAATAAACGGGCAGCAGTAAATATATATATATAATATATATATATATATATATATATATATATATATATATATATATATATATATATATATATATATATATATATATATATATATCACATTGTTGTCTGTCTGTTGATTCATCCATTGACATATCACTGAGACTTGTTTGTTTATCCACTTAAGATATATTTGATGGTCAATATTAAAGAAAAAAAATAATGATCTATTTTGTTGGGATCTTGCAGTCTTTCAATATGTGTCATTCATTGCCTTTATCCTTTCATTAATCGGAAATACACTAAATGTTTTTTTTTTTTTTTTTTTTTTTTTTTATTCCTTTTTCCGGTTTCCTGCTTATGTTTTGAACGATTTCCTCAGTTTTCTTATTTGTTTATTCCTATATCTATTTACGTAATCTTTGATTTATTTATTTATTCATTACCGGAGCCGATCAGTCTCTCTCTTCGCCTTACGTGTTCTCTCCATCACTTTTCGAACTCGCGATCTCCCGACAACCGACCTCCCGACCTCGTACTCCCCGACTCTCTCCGACTCGCCCCGACCCCCCGACTCGACTTCGACTTATCCAACCTCCCGACTTTCCTGCCCTCCCGACTCGCCTGACCTCCCGATTTGCCCGACC